GACACAAGACTAGGGAGTTTAGTGTCATTCGTAATGATACATGGATTTCATAACACATCTAGTATACAAGAACATGTAATGAATTAAATACTCTCATAAAACCGTAGACAGTATCAATACATAAAATGTATCTGAATAAAGCTCATAAACAGTACATCATAGAGCACTAAACCAACAATCTCCCACTTGCTCTAATCATGAACTGCTAAACATCTAATGCCCATATCCCTAACATGACCCTCATGCTTCGACGAAGGGAGAGGCTTCGTCAACGGATCGACAATGTTGTCATCTGTCGACACTCTGCAAATGTGCACGTCTCCTCTGTCTATGATCTCTCTGATAAGGTGAAATCGTCTGAGTATGTGTTTGGATCGTTGATGGGATCTAGGTTCTTTCGCTTGTGCGATCGCTCCATTGTTGTCACAATACAGAGCAATAGGGCTATCTGCACTAGGAATCACACCCAAGTCACCAACAAACTTCCTGATCCAAACAGCTTCCTTTGCCGCGTCCGACGCTGCAATATACTTAGCTTCTGTAGTAGAATCTGCAACGGTCGCCTGCTTGGAACTCTTCCAGCTAACAGTGCCTCTGTTCAAGCAGAAAACATAGCCAGACTGCGATCTGTAGTCATCCGGGTCTGACTGGAAACTAGCATCGGTGTAACCTCTTACAGCGAGCTCGTCTTCCGACCCACCGTATACCAAGAACACATCCATAGTCCTTCTCAAGTACTTCAGGATGTTCTTGATGGCAATCCAGTGTGACTCACCTGGATCTGACTGATATCTACTCGTAATGCTCAACGCGTAGGATACATCCGGTCGAGTACAAAGCATCGCATACATGATCGATCCAATTGCCAAAGCATATGGAATCCGACCCATGCGTTCTCGCTTACCAGGTGTCGTAGGACACTGACTCTTGCAGAGAACTGTGCCACTGCTCATCGGTAAGGTTCCTTTGTTGGAATCTTGCATCTTGAAACGTTTCAAGACCTTATCGATGTAAGTACCCTGACACAATCCTAGAAGACGCCTCGATCTATCTCTATAGATCTTTATGCCTAGAATATAGGCCGCTTCTCCTAGGTCCTTCATAGAAAACTGCATTCCTAGCCAAGACTTAACGTCTTGCAAGGTAGGAACGTCATTCCCTATAAGGAGAATGTCATCCACGTACAGCACTAGAAATACAACTATGCTCCCACTAGCCTTCTTGTAAACACATGGCTCGTCTTCGTTTTGTGAGAAACCAAACTTTTTGATTGTCTCGTCAAAACGAAGGTTCCAGCTCCTCGAAGCCTGCTTCAGTCCATAAATGGACCTCTGAAGCTTGCACACCATCCTCGGGTTCCTTGGATCGACAAAACCTTCGGGTTGTGTCATGTACACATCCTCGGTCAAGTTCCCGTTAAGGAACACAGTCTTGACATACATCTGCCATATCTCATAGTCATAATATGCGGCTATGGCAAGTAGGATCCTGATGGACTTCAGCATAACTACAGGCGAAAACGTCTCATCATAGTCAATACCATGAATTTGACGGAATCCTTTCGCCACAAGTCATGCCTTATACGTGTGCACGTTGCCATCCATGTCGGTCTTCTTCTTGAAGATCCACTTGCATCCGATGGGTTTTATCCCTTCAGATGCATTAACCAGAGTGCATGCTTGGTTGTCTGACATGGATTGCATTTCGGACTTCATAGTCTCGCGCCATTTCTCGGAATCCGGACTCGCCATAGCCTCTGGGTGTGTGGTAGGCTCGTCATGTTCTAACAACATGAGTTCCTCATTCCCAGTCACGAGAAATCCATATCTCGTTGGCTCTTGGCGAATCCTGCCTGATCTCCGAGGTTCACTCGTCAAAGGTTGAGTCACAACCGGCAGTGAAACAGGTTGAACATCTTCAACTTGTTCACTCGGCTCAACGTCTACTTGCTGCTCTCGAACTTCCTCAAGTTCGATCCTACTCCCACTGACTCTTTTGGAGACGAACTCTCGCTCCATAAAAGTCGCATTCCTAGCAATGAACACCCTGTTCTCTGCCGGAATGTAGAAGTAGTAACCCTTAGTTTCCTTAGGGTAGCCTACAAATAAACACTTATCAGATTTGGAGGATAACTTATCAGCCATCTGACGCTTCACGTAAGCGTCGCAACCCCAAATCCTGACAAACGACACCGCGGGACGCTTCCCCGTCCATATCTCATATGGCGTCGCTTCAGCCGACTTCGTTGGACT